TCCACTTTAATTTACTTTAATTCACTTTATTTAACTTTATTTCGTCCTTATTTCAGTACACTTCGTTTTCCGAAGACCATCCCTTTCCAAGAGAGTGCCCGAAGTTTGGTGGGTCTTCCGGTGTACGTACACCGCAGCGCCGCGGGCCGTTTGCGCATTTGGACCCAAAATGCCTCCATTTCTGTTAATTCTTTTTTCGTTTTCTTTCCCGGCTTTTCTATTTCTTTAATTTCGCACTTTTTGTCTAAAAGCACTTTTAAAAGCTGCTCGAAATCCTTTTTTTAAAAGATCTTTTCCAGATCCTCTCTATGATATTCCCGACGACCTCTTCGTGCCTCGCGCCCCCACTGCCTCTCCCTACACGCCCGAGGAACCCCCAGAAATCAGCTGTGCGTAAACCCTAAACCCTAAACCCCGTTAACCCTAAACCCTAAACCCCAACCCCCCGAACACTTCCCCCGAACCCCTGTGGTTAACTGTGGTGTATGTACAGACACCCCGCCAAAGAAGGCTCCCGTCTACTCTTTGCCTGTCCAAGTTGAACACTGCAATTGCAAAGACACGAAACGGCTGCGGGAGCTTTGCCTATATCACGCGGCGTTGCCCGTCTTCGTAAGAAACCCTAAACCCTAAACCCTAAACCCTAAACCCTAAACCCTAAATGCAGATACCCGGGAACAGCACCGTGGCCGCGACGCATTTCCAAATCCCTTCCACCGAAGGGCCCAACGAGTGTTGCGTGCGCTGCAGGGCTTACATTGCAGGTACCCTAAACCCTAAACCCTAAACCCTAAACCCTAAACCCTAAACCCTAAACCCTAATTCCTGAACTTTAATCCGGCGCAGGGCCCATTCCCCAACCGCCCGTGGAGCCGCCACCTCGAGGAGTGCTGGCGGAAGAGCAGCAACAGCAGCAGCAGCAGCGGCAGCAGCAGCAGCCAAAGGTACCTTGGACACTAAATTTGTCTCCTCAAACCCTAAACCCTAAACCCTAAACCCTTAATTCGCTCCCCAGGTCGGCCACAAAATTCCTGTGGAAGGATATGGCAGCCGCGCGAGACATCCCGCCTCGTTCCTCTAAACTGCCTGGACCCTAAACCCTAAACCCTAAACCCTAAACCCTGAACCTTAAACCCTCGCCGCGAAGAGCTCTGCATCGTTTGCTCAGCGAGCAGCGGCAGACTTTCATTTATTTACAAAACCCAAACAAACAAACAGAAGCAGTAGTACCAAACAAGAGGACAGCAGCAGCAGCAGCAGCAGCTGCTGCTGCTGCTT